CGGGACCACCAAATTTTCACCCCAATCGGAGCTAGGCTCGAGCATTCTTGATTTCGAGCCTATAAGTCCACTACCAGACGCAGCACTCGACTTCCTAAATGACAATCCAAACACTATCGACGAGGGCCAAACTAACAAAGACTGTTCGGGCGCAACCACTTCCAATGCCTCCAAACCAGAGGGGCTTCCCTTGGCCCTCAGTTTTTCAACTATCAGCTCGGTTGCTTCCTCAACTGTTCCATGCGCTTACGTGAACCCTGGCAGCGCCAATGATTCCCATTTTTCCTGGACCAGCTTTCAGCATTATAGCCTGCCCTCCGAGGATATCGGGTCTGGACCCATGCAAAAACCCGCATCGATTGCCAAGCATGTGTCACCTTTGGTTGTGGACGAAAACCACCGCGCCGATGTATATCAGCCTCAAGTATCGAGCTATGACGACTCAACAATTCCTCATTCCACCAGTATGCAAGAACTCCTTGCTGAATTGAGTTATCTGGCCGGAATGATTCAGCAACATTAACATGTGCAATATAATTTGCTACGTCCCTCGCTCGCAACCTTGATCGATATACTCGACGGAATTCTCTCCTTTTCTACATGCTGAGATGTGCAAATATTCGGCTGGTTAGATCCACGGGGATCTAGCTTCATTTTCAGTTTCCCAATGTTATGGTGTTAACAGCATATTCCTCGTCCGAGCGAAGTTTTCCGGGTTGGGGAAGGATAGAAGTCGATGTACTAATGAATGGGACAATGGTGGCTTAAAAGTGACGAATCGGTTGAGAAATTTTCTCTTGTCGAGGGAGGGGGTGACTTCTCCGGGGATACCTCGCTGATGACCCTAAAAGTTGAAAAGGAAAAGGGATGAGGGAGTGGCAGAGCCTCTTTCGTTCAGCCTCGCCTCCAACCAACGAGGCTGCGTTATGAGGCTTGGCGGAATTTCTTCCCGATAACCTAGACATAGACTACCAGTAATTACCTCTGTACCAATGTCTGTAAGGACACAGACTCATGCAGCATGATGATGATGATTATAACTTAATGACGAGATGGCTTCATGCCTAGCACGAATTTCATCTTTGGATTCTCTCTACTCTTCGCGGTTCGCTTTCCTTGACGCGTCCATCATCAATCGGGCCTGGGCACGCGTCGCTGAGAGGAGTTGGGCTCCATTGAGCAGCACCACACAATCCTAGCCATTTCTCATTTTCACTCTACGCTGCAGATACTGGAACGGAACGATGATCATGAGAGTCTTTGATTGAACAAAGATCCGCCGATCCTTAATTCTGCTTTCCAGTCGCGCATCACTTACCTCGTGGACGCCTGCCCCAGTCCAATACCTCAGCCGCACCACCCTGTAGCATTGCGAATCTGCTTCAACAATGCATCAAATATCGAAGCGCATGTTTACCGACCCTTTCGTCCCTCCCCTTTTCGCGTACTGTCCGACCCTAGATCTTGTCGCGACGGTTACGGCCAAAGGGAGTGTGGATGTTTGGAGGTTGAATGGGCAGAGAGTCTTTGGTTTCAACTTTCCCAGAGATGAGGAGGAGGAGAAGGATGTTGACATGGTCGGGCACGCGGCCGCAGAGAAGGGCATTGGAGGAAACGTAAGGGCTCTGGCGTGGAGGAGGGATGGTGAGTGATTTTTTTTTACGCCTATGTTCTCCTCTTCGTTCCCATCACACGGCACATCAGACCAGGTCAGATGCCAGGACTGAGAGACATGGTGCTCCTAGGGCCAGCTTGGATCATTATCTCCTCACTTGCCGGGAAAGAAACCACATGCTAACTTCCACGTCCCAACTGCGGGGATGCACGTACAGGCCAAATACTCGCGATTGGCTGCACAGATGGCAGCTTTACACTCATAAATACCTTGACAGGCAAAATTGCTCATCGAATACCCAGTCCGGTCCAGGAAGCGGTATCTTCTGTATCATCACCACGACCAATACAGACCCAGGCACGAACACGGAGTTCTAGGGTCTCCTCTGTCGCTACGTCTCAGACCACACCCTCGCGGCCAAACGTCACAACCATCTCCTGGACAACACACTTCGTCGATCCCTCCCCCACCACCGTCCGCTCCCGTCTTGATGCGCCACATTCGAGTGTCTCCCTCGATCAGATTCTCGGCCTCCGCGCTGACGTGGACAGACTTCTTCAATTGAAAGCCGACTTGCCCCGTGAGATAAGCAGTATTGACGTGGAGGCATCACTACCAAGGCTTGCGACGTTGCCCCCTACGGGCGTTGGTGCGGATGATGATGTGTTTAGTTCTCGGAGCAGTGTGGATGTTGTGTTTCATGGAGGCGGCAATAACGGCTCTACCGGGTCTGGTGGTGTCGACGCCATGCTAGCGGGATTAAGCGACGAGGACGGCGGATGCATGGTTCAGCTGAGAGTTTTTGACTCCTTTGATATAGGAACTATCGATCTGAAGGGGATTCTACCTCCAGCGCATGCAACTGGAAGAGCGTCAAGGGTGCTGAAAATGGAAGGTCATCCCTTCCTTTCAACAGTTTTCCTCGTCATCGAACAGACGCCAAAAGAGGGAGCCGCTTCGTCGCTACATTTACTCAGCCTTGACTTGAGCTTCATACCTCAAACTGGACGGAACTTGCCGCTTGTAGCAAGGAAAGTCTCACAACTAGGCTACCTGCTCCGATACATCTCGCAGGTCCGGACGCAATTGGTTGCCGAACTCAAAGCTGCATTTGACTTACCGGGCAGATTTCTCCGCAATATCAACGAATCTCTCGCAGAAGGAGATGAGAATGCGGACTTTGTCTTTGCGGTCCATCATCTCGCCGTTACAGGCATCTGTGATCCTATACTGAGGGAGTGGTTGGTTGACCAGGTTGGAGATAGGGGTTTAAAGCGGTGGGAGAACGCCGTAGGCGATTGTCTTGAAGTCGTGAGGAGGATGACAAGTGAATGTCTCCTTCCTGCCGTGGAAAGAAGTCTGGCTGTGTTGTCAAGACTCGACGGCCTTGCCAGGTTTGGACCCACCAGTTCTAAGCTTGGACTAGACGAAAAGAACGTGAAGAGGGTGACGGAGACCTTTGACGCTCTGGGTATCCTCGGTGAAGACCTCTTGCTTGATGTCATTACAGAAACAAGAGAGTTTACAACGTTCATCAGATGGTTGAAATGGGAGCGCGATGTTGAGGCGCTGGATGAAGACAGTGACAAGACCGAAGAATTGAGAGAGCTGTGGACAGGAGAGGGGGAGTTGAGGCTGGTATTAGACTATGTGGGAGGCGCCATGAACGAAAGTCGACTGAAGAAATATCTTTTGGACGAGACCAAGGAGCAACAAACTACGTTGCCCACATCCTTTGATGACGATTCGGATCTAGGATTCTACGCCGAGTTCACGAAACGCCGGACCAGCGGTAACAGAGACAAGAGGATGCCTACTCTAGGAGAACTGGTCGACAGACTGCAGAGGCAGTGTGAGGTGGTCTTTGAGCGGATCGCAGAGACATTCAGGAAGAGCATCCTCACGAGCTATCTGCAAGAGCTGCCCAGTGAGTGTGTTGGCGGGAATATGGACGTCAGAGTCATCCCCAGCGACAGCGACCCCAACCTGTACAGGCTCTTTATGATATCCACGGATCGCCGAGAGAAAGCCCTTCTCCAATATGTCGTGGTAGAGCTGCGACAAGGAGCTGGTAAGGGTGTCAAGAACACAATGCAGTCGAAGTCGATCGCGATCCCCGAGGTGCAGGAGGTCCTTGATGCGAAATTTGTCGACGACGAAGCACTTCTAGTTCTTGCCCGGACGGCCTCTGATGTCAACCTGTTCTGGAAAGACATCACTATTGACGGTGAAGGACCCTGGGATGTCCGGCACGTTTTCCAGCGAGGGAGAATCGACGGTGTGATGAAGCCCGTTAGGCTTGATGTGAATGGGAGAGTTGGAAGGAGAGTGGTCACTGTCCTCGACGAAAGTGGGATGGGACTAGTGGTCTTGGACTTGGACGCCGACGACAGTGCTCCTGACGCCACTGATGAAGAAGATGAGCTCATGACGGAGTGACGAGATAAAGTTTCAAGAGTGTTGAGAGGGTACGGGCTTCCCCAGGCATCAGGCTGCGGTCGAGGCGGAGACTGCCATAGAACCGGGTTACGCAAAGCCTGGCTTGTTTGACCCAGACGAGTGTCTGTTCCTAGGTGATCGAGTACATTAGTATTAGTAGCAAAGACGCAGTCACTCGTAGGTAATTCTGTACCACCACGCTTAAACTACAGACAATGTACTAGTAGTGCAGGGGTTGTAAGAGATGGGACGAGGCTGATCAAGGCTGGCAGAATGGCAGCATTAGGAACGCAGAGCCCCTGAGTGGCGCCATCTAGCGTTGGCAGGTTGGCAGGTCGAAGCCACTGGGAGTGTCCAAGCGCAGGCGGGCGGCCGCCACAATAATGTAATGTAACACTCTAAGGAGTTTCTGGGGTGCGAGGTGCCCAGCTGATGCAATGCGGGCGTCAGTCGAGGCAGCGCATAGTCCATAGCGATAGGGTATGAACTTGGGAGGTATGTAGCGAGCCAGCTGTTTGCTTTAGCCACTTTGCCAGCAGATCCGCAAATTTGACCACTCAGTTCGGCCCTGCAGCTTGGGTGCAGCCTTTGACCTGGACTACGTAAACGATCAGGTTAAGTAGCCTGGTAGGCCAGTTAGCGCGAGCCTGACCGCAGTCTATCAACAAATCCATCCCACTTGCAGTTGCCCTCTAGCAAAACACACACCAAACCCGCAGCCCTGCACACACAATCTCAAACCACCTTGTCCTTCTCTCTCTCATCTTGACCCCATTCCGTCGCCCGCTCGACTCGCCAGTATCTACAGGTCGTTCTCTCCTTGAATTCCAGGCCTCTGTCATTCTTCCACTTTGACATACTTCTTTGCCTGCTATCCAAGTTAGAGCCCGGAATTCCTCGTTTTGTCCGCCTTCTGCATCCTAGACCGCTGTTCGGTCCAGCCATCATGGACGTCAGAGCGGTCCTAGAGAACACTTTTTCTCCCGGTAACATGATCTCTTACCTCTCTCGCTTCCGGCATGGCACTGATCTCTCCTAGATGCCACGATCCGTGGCGGTGCTGAAGAACAGCTCAGACAAGCCCGCGAAGGAAATTTTGTATGTCCCATCCCTATCCCGCACACCAGCGTTATGAAGGTCCCAACTGACCGTCGGCTGCCAAATATAGTCCGAATACCTGTCTATCCTCTCCAGAGAACTTGCCAATGATCAAGCCAGTCCTGCCGTCCGACAAGCCGCCGGTCTCGCCCTGAAAAACGCCTTCTCCTACCGTGACGTGACCAGATTACGAGAGGTACAGGCAAGATGGTTGCAGGGTGTTGACCCTCAAATCAAGGCCCAGGTCAAGGAGCTGGCCGTCAAAACCCTCACTTCTACACCTCAAGCCGCCAATTCGGCTGCTCAATTGATTGCGACCATTGCCGCCATTGAACTCCCACGCAACGAGTGGCCTGACCTGTTACCGGCCCTTGTCCACAACGTTGGTGCTGGTGACGACAAACTCAAGCAGTCCAGTCTCACGACCATCGGCTTCATTTGTGAATCGGACGATGCCGAGCTCAGAGAGTCCCTGGTTGGATATTCCAACGCAATATTGACCGCTGTTGTTCAGGGTGCGCGGAAAGAGGAGGAGAACCAGGACGTTCGACTCTCCGCCTTGTCAGCGCTCAGCGATGCTACCGAATTCATCCGCAGCAATTTTGAGAACGAAGGCGAGAGAAACTACATCATGCAAGTCGTGTGCGAGGCCACACAATCCCCTGACACCCGGGTTCAGGCGGCTGCTTTTGGTTGTCTGAATCGTATCATGGGCATTTATTATGATAAGATGAGATTCTACATGGAAAAGGCCTTGTTCGGTCTGACCGTCGGCGGCATGAAGAACGATGAAGAGGATGTAGCAAAATTGGCTATTGAATTCTGGTGCACCGTCTGCGAAGAGGAGATCAGCATCGAAGATGATAACCAGCAAGCACAACAGGAAGGATCCACCGAGCTGCGGTCCTACTTCAACTTCGCCAGAGTCGCCGCACGCGAGGTTGTCCCAGTCCTGCTTCAGTTGATGACCAAGGTCTCCGAGGACGATGCCGACGATGAATACAACGTCGCCCGCGCTGCTTATCAATGTCTCCAACTCTACGCACAGACAATAGGTGGTGATTTGGTCCCGATGGTTCTTCAATTTGTCGAGGCGAATCTACGCAGCGATGACTGGACCAAGAGAGATGCTGCCGTCTCATCATTCGGAGCAATCATGGACGGTCCTGACATTAAAACACTTGATCCTCTGGTTAAACAAGCTCTCCCCGTCTTGATTGGAATGATGCAAGACCCAGTTGTTCAGGTTCAAGACTCTGCGGCATTTGCCCTGAGCAGAATCTGCGACTACTGCTCCGAGTGTATTGATCCGTCAACACATTTGCAGCCTCTTATGTCGGCCCTTTTTGCCGGCCTGATGAGCAATCCCAAGATTGCCGCATCCTGCTGTTTAGCTCTTCTCAATCTCACCGAGCGATTTGTTGGCGAGGACGGTGCATCCTCAAATGCTCTGACGCCGCATTTCCAGGACAGTGTGACTTCTCTGCTGGCTGTAACCGAGAAGGAAGCTGGTAACAACCAACTTCGCACGGCCGCGTATGAAGTGCTTGGTGGCTTCGTCACAAATGCCGCTCACGACAGCTTGCAGATAGTCGCTGAACTGTCTAACGTCATCATCCAGCGTCTTGAGAGCACGATTCCCATGCAGAAGCAGATTGTCAGTATTGACGATAAGATCACTCTAGAGGAGTTGCAAGTCAGCCTTAGCAGCGTTCTGCTCGCCATTGTCCAACGACTCGAACAGAACATTGGACCACAGGCTGATCGGATTATGCAAATCAGTTTGGAGCTTCTCAACGTCACTGGCACGACCAGCGTCCCCGAAGTCATTTTCCAGATTGTCAGTGGACTGGCAAATGCGTTGGCTGGCGATTTCTTAAAGTACATGGACTCATTCGTTCCATATCTCTACAATGCTTTAGGAAATCAGGATGCTCCGGACATGTGTTCCCTGGCTATTGGGCTTGTCAGCGACATTGTTCGTGCCCTGGAGGACAAGGCGCGGCCGTACTGCGATACATTTATGAACTACCTACTCGACGATCTCAGGGTTTGTCTTCTCCCAACCCTCACTCATCCGTATTCATGCAACTAACAATTCCCTCTAGTCCGACAAGCTCTCCAACTCACTGAAGCCGCCCATTTTGGAGACCTTTGGTGATATCGCTACCAGCATTGGTGTACATTTCGAAACATACGTCACTGTGGTAGCCGGGGTTCTCCAGCAAGCCAATAATGTTTCTGTTGCGAGCGATGTCTCGTTCGATATGCTGGACTATATCGTTTCTCTCCGCTCAGGTATTGCTGATGCATGGTCAGGCCTGATCCTGGCCTTCAAGGGCACTGAAAAAGGTATGATATCTCCCAATGTAAAATGTTCCGATGCTAACTCAGTGACAGCTGCCCTCCTTCAAACTTATGTGCAACCTATCTTCGAGTTTTTGCAGACCGTCTCCCAGGACATGAACCATAACGAGGGTCTACTCAGAGCTTGCATGGGCATTATCGCGTATGTGTTCTTCCGGACTCCTCGTACTCTTTCTGACAGTTTCCAGTGACCTCAGCGAGACCTTCCCCGACGGATCACTTTCAGAGTACTATCGACAAGACTGGGTTACCAAGCTCATCAAAGAAACGCGAACAACTCGAGAATTCTCGCCGCGGACCATCAACGCAGCACGTTGGGCAAGAGAACAAGTCAAACGACAGACTCAACATCAAGGTACCATCATGAATGCGTCATGAGCCTGATGTCGAGAATATGTCGTATCCCCAACATCATTATTCACCTCCCCGGCACCATTACCGCCACCCCGAATCACCCTTGCCCATTCGCACCCCAGCACCAGCCCCAGCACAGCACATTGAAACCCCCTGTCAGAGCGCTGATCACCGTTATGTGAAGGTCATTTCTCATCGCAAGCCAGTACCATAGTGGGACGACTGGAGAACGATGGCGAACATGACCTGTTGCAAAACGGAGAGAATGGTCACGTGGACAAGCGTCAACACTCGGTTGACACCCGAATCTATCACCGCCATCCGCGGGCGATCCTCGATCCTTCAGCCTTCTCGTGTCTCGATCTTGATGTCGATGTCGATCTCGATTTGGACTCTGAGGACGACCTACCCTTGACTGGCGCGTCAGGCCACAACCCGTCACCAGGCGCTTCGCTCTCTTCCCAGTCACGCGTGGTGTGCCTAGAACGATATTACATTGGAACGATGTCTGTTGACGGCTTTTCCAACCACGACTGCATCGAATCTCGAAATGGAAATGGCAATGACACAGTGGCTCCATTTGGTCACGACTACTATGGACATATCGATCCGCCATAGCACCGAGCCTTTAGCAGCCGAACGTCTACCGGACGAAAATCGCCGGTTTGACAGAGGGACCTGCAACGGATGGAAATTCTGCGGTTTGGGTTCACGCATGGAAAGACAGAAAAGAAATTCAGACACAGGACAGGATCTGGCGATCGTTCGGAACAGATAAACAAGACAGCCCCATGATACCCCTTATACCCCATATTCCCTCCTTCGCTTCTTCCCTCTTTCCCCTTCTTTGCACCGCTTCATTCTACATTCGGCATCCGTTTTCTGCTGGACTCAGGTTGAGACTCGACAACAGTGTACTGCGAGACTCAGGGAGGGTGGAGGCCTGAGCCATTGTTTGCGCGGCCTGTGTCGTTGTGTCGTCGTACCAAATTGAGGCACCATTATTCTACTGGAAGGCATGTCCTCGTTGTGATATGACCGCTTTTGGGCCATGCAATGTGGTCACGAGTGGTGTCCGAGTGGAGCTTCCTCAGGCATAGAGCTAGATAGCAATCCCAATTAGATGGCATACGTTTGACCTGTCTCGGCTCTTGGTCGAGTCTAGCAAACAAGGTGACAGGACAGTACATTGAGAGATTATCGATGATGGCTTGTTCGACATACAAAGGGCCTGTAGTATTTGATGCGAGGAGAACAGGAAAACGACGGCCAGTAGCAACCTCAATCCCACCCTCTACTCTCTGTAAGTTCCTTGGCTCAGTGATTGCCTCGATGTCGACAACGAATTTGTGTTTCGCGAACTGTCCACCGAGTACATATGTACCTCGTGTGCCTAGATAGGACATATGCTGCCCTTGGACCCCCCAAGTCTATACATAAATATCTCGCCCTTCCCACGTACCTGGCTTGCTAACCGGCCATTTGAGTCCCCGATCCTCCTCCTCTCTCTCTCTCTCTCTCACACACACACACAATCCCCCTCCACCGTCTTCCTCCAATCTACTGCGAGGAAATAACAGGAGGCTGTTGCTGTCTCTTTGCGAAAAGCTCTCGCGCGCCCTTCCACCACAGGCCGTTCTGCAGGTCCAAGGTCTGCTCGATGAGGAAGCGCTGGCTCTCGTCGGCGTAGTCCGGAGGTTTACGGTAAAAGAGCCTGTCGACGACGCACTCGACGCTCTGGCCCGTTTTGACTTGGCCGTCGACCCCTTCGGACTTGCCGTCTCCCTCGACCCGGCCGGTCTCGGAGATGAGCTCGACAAAGGCCCGCACCATGGTGCTCACGGGCGTGATGTACTCCCTGGGCCAGCCGGCGGTGACGCTCGGCGGCGACAGGCCCGTCTCCACGTACGCCGGGTTGATGCAGTTGACGGCAATGTTGTCCGTCTCGTACAGCAGGCGGCCCACCGCCCGCGTCAGCCCCAGCACCGCGTGCTTGGTCGCGCAGTACTCGGGCGCCACGGAGAAGGGGTACAGTCCCGCGCACGACGACGTGATGACCATCTTGGGGTTATATCCCGCCGCCGCGACGGCGGATTGGGACAACGACGAGGTTTTGAGCAAACCCCGCGCCGTGCGCCGGCTGTAGTGGATGAAGAGCTTGAGGCCGTAAAACACCCCGATCTGGTTCACCTGCGTGCACAGCATGGGCGGCTTCGAGGGCTCGTCGGCCTCATAGTCCGCCGCCGCCGGGTTCGCCAGCACGATGTGCTCCTTCTCGGCGACGCCCGCGTTGGCGGCCAGAAAGTCGATGCGCCCGCCCGACCAGGCAAACGCCTCTCGGAACAGCGCCGCCTGCGACTCCCACGACCCGACGTCGGTGGCCACGAAGACGTGTCTGCTGCTGTCACCACCAAGGTCCCCCGCGATTGCTGGGTACGCGTCCGCCCGGATGTCGGCAATCACCACGCGCCAGTCCGGCTGCGAGAGGAGGTGCTTCACCAGTCCGAGACCGATGCCGCTGCAGCCGCCTGTTGGGGGGAAGGAGAGTTAGATCTCTGCGTTGGAAAAAAATTCGGTGCGAATCTTCTCTTTGGATGGACGGATGGTGAAGTGCAATGAAAAAAAAAGGGGGGGGGGGTTCCCAAAACGAGCTATGTGTGTATGGTTTTGGTGATGGTGGTGAAAGATGAAGGGGGATGGGGAAGAGAGGCGAGATATGTAATGTACGTACCTGTGACTATCGCCGTCTTCATAGTCATCGTTGTCATTGTGCTCGCTTTCCTTCCACTCTTTTGTGGAAGCTCAAGGGACCGGCACCGGGATGGTACTGTTGATCGCCACGAAGCGGGCTTGATGCTCAATTCAGAGACGGACGTATACACACACCTCGGGTTGGACGCGAATGCTAGAAATATATTCAGACAACAAAGAAAAAGAAAGGACAAACTCGAGTTTTGAGTTTATATTCTCGAGGAAGAGACAGCATATGGTTTTTCGTCGTACAACATTGACTGAATTGACTGACTACCTAGTAGCTGACTGATTGACTGATTGACTGACTGACTGACTGACTGAATGCGCGATGGCCTGATGGGCGCTAGGATTTATGTATTGACTCCGTCATGTATAAGAAAATCCCCCCCCCAATGTGGCACGCTCACCAGCACTGGCACACACGGCTTGGGTACATCTCTTACCTACATACCGAGGTGTTTTGGGCAAGTCCCTGGGTAATTCACCACCGTGGAGGGTTGTCGCGGGGAGACGAGGAGGAGGTGGTGGTGGTATCTGGACTTCTGACACAGGAATGTCGAGTCGTAACCAGAAAATGGATCTCCTCCGTTCAAGCCCCGTTTGTGTGCCCCCTTTTTGCTCGGGTCTTGGGTGTGATTGACTGATTCCCCGCAGAAATACTTGGTGTCCCAGTCTTGACCCGATTTGGAAGGCATACGAGTATTATGAGGATTTCCCGGGAGGAGTGTAGATGTAATCTTCCTAGGATCCACGCTTGTAGCTTGCGTGCTCGATCGGGTCATTGCAGATCCAACGAACCAGTCAACGACGGTTTGGCTTGGTTGTATTCGACTTGTGGTTCTGGTCTCCCAACAAGGTCCTTTGTCTTCGTCATGGAGCATGCCAGCACTGCAGAGGACATTCCTTGTCATGAAGCTCTCGATTGCTCGTTGTCGAGTCCCTCGTAGATGGAAACCATCTGTAGAGAGAGAAGGTCTCGTTGCTGGGCACGATTGGAATGGCATTCAGACCTTGCGCCTCTGGCCATGCACAGCCCAAAGAGGAGCAATAGTTTCCACCGCTCTCTCCACGACGGCCTTGATCCGATCTCGTAGGACGGCATTAGCGCATTCCACGTCCAGATTCTCCAGCCATAACCTTGCCACATGTTTGTCGAACCGGATTTCCAGTCCTGGTACGGGAATCCCGACTGCCGCCAGCCTTGCGCGCTCTTCGGCTTCAGCGCGTTCAAGATCAGCTTCCTCATCTGAATCATCCGCCGCCGCCGCCTCCTCGTCGTCGTTCTCCTCTTTTTTTACCCCTTCGATTCCACCAGACACTTGGGTTTTGCGGTCTGGTGGGTAAACTGTGCGCGGTTTGTTTATCGGGGTGATGTTATCACCGAACTGTTCTTCCAGGAACATACATAGCCTCGAGAACCGATCCTGGGGAGAGATCTTGATCAGTTCGTTGGTCAGTGGCTTGACGCCATTGTCATGCTCGTGGCCATGGTGTGAATGGGCCGACTTGCTCGATGAGTATTTGACGGCTGCCGGACTGCTCTCCACTGTCATTAGTACAGCCATGACTGCGTCTGCGATACCATCGTTCATGGTGTTGCCTTCCCATTCCAGTTCAACCTGCTTCTCTCGTCCCGACCACTTGAGCGTGACGCACCCCATGATGAGGAACGTTCGCGGTGGCTCCGCGACAATTTCCTCGTCGGCTTCTTCTTCGGTTTTCATCCCGTTTTCTCCGTTTATCTGATTGCTCTCGGCCTTTGCAGGATGCCCATTTGCTTCGGCCTTGATATGACCGACCTCCTCAATGCTCCCAAAAGTGCCTTCCAGAGCCCATTTAATGAGCTCCACGCCAGCTGCAGCCAGAGTGATGTGTTGCCGGCACAGAATAGTCGTGGTGGTGAGGCCGGCGTATTCGCGAAGATCCTCCGGCGCCATCAAGCTGAGCTTGAAGCCGTTCTGGACCAGAACTCCACTGACCACTCTTGTATCATCCTCTTCGGCAGATGAAGGAGGAGGAATCTGTGCCAGTTTTCCCACCACTTTGGCCACTTTGTCCTTTCTGAAGGGAATTTTGATTTCAGCGCCATTTTCTGGGCTGTACACTTTTGTTTGCTGTGCGTTCGGATTGCTTGTCAATCGGCGGGAATTCAGATCCAGGAGTCTCGATCTGAGTCTTGCCGCTTGGGAACGTTCTCCATGGACTAGAATAACGTGGGGTGCAGCGACTTGCTCAATGAATTCTACATTCTCAACTCCTGTAACGTGGGCTGCGAACTGGAATTCCTCCACCGAACACCGTCGGGGGATCATCACAGCGGCATCGTCGTCTTTGTTTCTGCGACCCATGGTGTTGCCCAGGCCTGTATTGCCCCCGCTCATGATGGCGGGTATCATCTCTGGCTCTGACAAAATAGTCCGACCCATGGTGCCTTCGATATTGTAACCTGTCATGATGACTCCATTGCGTTGATCGGGTGCCCATCTTTCGAGCAAGATGCGGGACATGCCCGATTGCATCATGCCAGGCGATGCCAACATTACACATCCGCCCACATCGTCAAATCGGTCTAGGTTTCGCAGGCTTCGCACAAACCGGAAGTCCCAGGGGCCTGCACTGACGCCTTTTGCATTGCCAGCTGCTTCAGCTTCGGCCATTCTCTCTCGAAAGATGCGTTTGATGTTGTCATTCATGGCGTTGATGTACGTCTGGTACACCACCATGCATTTTCGTGCCGTATTGCCGGTGTAATAGATGGGAAACTTCTGCAGTTCCGGGTGCCGTTGCCAGTAGTCCTCGAGGATGAGCAGCAACTCTTGTGCTCGACCGAGCGCAAAAACTGGCATCAAAACTTTCCCTCCACGGCCCAAAATGTTGGAGACAGACTTCAGGAGAGCAGTCTCCCGCTCTGCGCGGGGAGGTGCGTTTGAAATGCCAAATGTAGACTCGGTGATGAGGACATCTATCTTGCCCACACTCGAGGAGTTTGGAACCTCGGCAGCCACAAGATGCCGGTCCTGCTCTCGAGAGTAGTCCCCGGTAAAGAAGATGTTGAGTCCAGCGATATTGATCAAAAACATAGCAGCCCCGAGGACGTGCCCGGCCGGATACGGTGTTATCCGAATGCCCGAAACGGTATGCGTCGTGTAGAAGTCGATCGTCTCAATTTGAGGAAGAGTAGAGATGTGGTCAGCTTCGGTGTACAGCGAGGTCCTTTGATCCGAAGTAGATGTCGTATTGCTCACTCGGACAGAGTCCTGGATCAGCCATTTGTAGATTGCCTTGGTCGGATGTGTCATGAATACGCGCCCTTTGAAGTCCGTTTTGGCGAGGACATAAGGCAGTGCGGCTGCGTGGTCCAGATGGAAACTGCACGAGATCACAGTTAGCATCCAACTCTGAGCAGTGTGAACAAAGGCCCTGTGGGCCGAGCAGATAAACGACTGGGATGAGGCCAGAAACGGAGGACAAGAGGGAGGAACGAGGATCATAGGTGAACAAGATTGTATTGGTGTCTGCCTATAGGTACAAGATCTCTTCGAGCATGACCGTCGAACCCAGCTGCTTCCAGATGCAGCGTGCCTAATGGATGTCGAGCAAGAAAATCCCATTTGTTTTCTGCCCAATTTGCTCAAATTCATTCTCCAAAGCAATGCGATCAGAAAGGAGAGGTTCACCTACTGGCTGATTAACAGGATGTCCACAGTGCTTAGATCGAAGTCGTCAAAATAGGGCATGGCCGACATCCCTTCCCGACCTGTATGCATGCCAGCATCGAGCTACACGCTTGTCAGACTTTGTTTGATCCAGTTGTGTCTCGAGCACCTCACCATGACAGTCTTGCCCTTGTATTGTAGGATATGACACGATCGACCAACTTCTTGACAACCACCTAACCCAATAAACACAAGCTCATCCGAAGGGTCTACTGGTTCATCATCTTCCACGGCAGTCATGGCCGCAGCCTTTCTTTTCGTTGCCATGCTTCTCACGGAGAAATCGTAGGAGACAGGATCGGAGACTGGGAGAGATCGAGGGATGGGTGGGATAGAATGAGAGGTGCACGCATAGAACAAATCTCCTAAATCAGGGCATTCGTTATGTCGCCGAAATAAAGTTCTTAACGTTGCGGACGCTGCTAGCCATTCAGTGCCAGACGCGTTTGATTGACTTGATAAAAATGTGGTTTTGGATAAACAGCATACCAAAGTCAACACGAAGTTGGGGTGTAGGAACAGGCAGATCACGTGAGTGAGTGCGGCCTTGGGACTCTGGGTCATTTCTCTGAGTAGGCTGCCCTTACCCGCGGTTTACGCTTTTGACCATCATCGCATCACTCAACCACACCACTTACTCCTACAATTCTATTCCCGACACGTTCCTCTTGCGTATCAGCAGAACTTTGGATGTCAGCAAAGTGGAATCAGGCATGCTTGGCACAAGAAGGAGGCCGAGCGTGAGTCGACGCTCACTCGGATTCAAGACCCAGGCTCGGAGAGAAAGAGACAGACGTTGAGGTTTTGAGGGTTTGAGGTGGAATTCAAGGCAGACTCTCGATCACGATGGCTCACTCGCCGCCGGCGCCATCGCGACCTCCGCTCCCGCAGACACAGACGTCCTTTTCGCGCAACTTCAGCCCTGCAAATGGCAGACCCAGCCCGCTTGGCCCTCAGTCACCTCCATTAGCCATGAACTACTCCTCACCTTCGCCTCAAGCGTTCTCACCCCAGCAATATTTCCAACCGCCAGCCGCGAAGAGACCTAGACTGTCACCCGATGTTCAGTCCCCTTCTGCTCCCCAAAGCTATCCTCCCACCCCCACTGCGCAGCCAACCACTCCAGGTGGAAATGCTCCCGTTAATGGTTCAGCTGGGCCGCCTCCGGGGCAAGGACTGATGCCTCCCCCTCAACGTCCTGACAAAGCTGAAGACCGCAACTACGAGGACATTCTAGTTGGAACTGGGATAAATATTGAAGAGGAGGCTAGGATGCTCGTTCAGAATGACTACTTTGGCACTTCAACTCCCCAGACGGCTACTTCTGGCAGTTTTGAGTATCAAAACAATTCATTTCCCCCACCGGGATCCAGTGGAGGCGTAAGTGCCTCGCAACAAGACCAAGCAGAGGATACTACCCGGGAACACCAACCGTCAGAAGAAGAGACGAAAGAGAGGAATGAAGCTCGCGCCGACTGGGAGGCGTCCAGATACAGCCAGCATCCACTCTGGGACATGTTTTTGTTGGGCGGAGCCCTCAATGAAAAGATTCGAAACATCAGCATCACCGAACATCTGGTTGATCCACAGTCTGGAGTTCTAGTCAATACTCAAAAACACATGCCTCCTCCTACTGTACGAGTCAATGGGCTGGAAGGCGCCTCGCGCATTATCGACAAGGGGCAAGCGATTCTCGACACTGGACAGAAGGGCGAGCGGCTTTCAGACATCATGAAGGTCATCAGTTTGGCAACACGAGCTCGGATGACTGGTTTGCTGAGCACCTCTTCAAGACTCTCTCAAGAACGTCGGCAGCATTCTGCTGGAAAGGTACCGGAGGAATGGCAAGATATCGCAGTTCAGGCCAAGCCTGCAGCAGATATCCCTGACGGAGCCACCAGCCCAGCAGGTAGCTCCAGTCTAAAGCGTAGGGTTTTGGATTCCCCGCTCCTTTTTTCTGGCGCTGACGAGAAAGTAGGCACGCATTCCCAAACAGGTAGCGAGTCATCGGTACGCCCTGAGCAGGTTCCTGGACCTATGCGTCTAATATCTACGTTTGAAAAAGTTTCACAGGCGGAGAGGGCTGCAGAGGAAGCACGACGGCAAAAGAGAGTCAAACGAAAAGCCGCCAAAAGAGAAGAAGCAGGCCCAACGGCGACCGGGCCCGATGCGACGCCTGAGGCTGTCACTGTTGCCAACCTGGACGCAGAGAAAAAGACAACAAAGAAGGAGAGGAAACTAGCAGAGAGCAAATTCTCCGAACAGCAACAGCACAAGTCTGCTAACGAGGCAGCACGAATGGCCGTCGCGGGATTATTTGGCAGTCGCCTGGGCGGCAAGAAGTCGAGAACGTATGACTGGATGAATGCTGGTAAAGCAGGAGCAAGTCCTGCGGCGACTCCAGGCAGACCAACGGCGTCAGGCGCTCCGTCGACAGCAGGGACACCGGCCCCTGATCGAGCTCGGACCGCTCCGAGGGAGAAGCAGTTTGGTCAGTGGGACGAAGACAGGGACGCGAAGATCCAGGCCCGAGATGTCTTGCTCGTGCTGGAAAGTGACGCCCGTGCCTCACGTTCGTATGTGAGAGGACTTAGTCTCCCCGAGAAAACTGATTCTTGATATATGCATTTCTAGATTTTGCAAGCGCTGCTCCAGGGAGAGATTTTGCGGTGCACCTCTCATCGGCGGGGGCGACAGGGGAAGCTTACTGTAAGATAATGGGAATTCCATAAAACACACACGAAAACGACCAGGATGCCAAATTGAGGTTTCTAGAGAGCAGAACCGGACAGCGCATTGATTGGGGAATAGCACGCAGATTGACAGTGGTGGCTTGTATTGCCCATGAAAGGGAGATCAACGTATCTGGCTTCTATCTTCAGCAAAGTCGCCTTTGGTCACGTCAGGCTGAGTTGAGTTTTGAATTGTCTAATCTAGACTAGTGCAATGTGGATTCTTCAAAGGGTCGCCAACCGACCGACCGGGGAGGCAAATCCATCCATGCATCCATTGGTCTTTGTTCGGGCGAAACGAGTTCCTGCTTCACCCACGCACCACACGCGCTCCGTTCGCTCCATTCGGGTCCTGTCGCATGTCGTGATCGCCATGGCACGGCAATTTGAGGTGGCGGAAACTGGTCATCCCTCCAATTTTTCCCCGACACCGGTTGTGAGGAGGGCGCATGCCTGGCCAGGGCAGCCGAACAGATCAATCCTCAATCCTCAATCCTCTATCCTCTCACCTCTGTCGAACCTGTGAAATACACAAGTAAGAGGTACTTCGTCTCGGTACAAAACAAGTATATCCGAAAACTGCCACGCTGCGCAGGGCACGATTGCCGTGGTGTGACGAGGAGGCGCTATTGGAAAGACCCCCATACCTCAGGTCACCCACCTATTTGCCGCACAGCTCGAGGGCTTCATAAGCGACAAAGACTAGTAGGTAAAGGCGCGTGGATGCAAAGCCTGGGGGGACATCCTCACCAATCCTGGCGCTGAGTGAAAAAAATAGACGCCATGACAAGTGCAATGGCTCAACTCGATCCAGTGTCAAGTCCAAAGTAGCCTATAGCGACATACATAGTAAGAGGAAGAGAAGATACTCAGCATTCCTACTTTGTGACGTGTCGCACTCAGTAATAGAATAATAGCCACGTTCAGTGTCTGGCTAGTGCATCCTGCGGAGGACGTTGGTGGGTGGTGCCGTGCGTTGTTCTGGTTAAGATCACAGCCCTGAGGTGCCCGGGTGTTGGGGCTTTGGAAAGGGTGGTATCATTCACCCGTGGGCAGTGGCCACTGATGATTCGGCCGGCTAACTAGACGCAGTTCTCCATGTCGATGCCCAGAAACAGAATTGAACCCTTTCGTGTGTGTTCGCCCTGCAACCTGAAGTGCGCTACGACTGGCCTGGCTTAAGCCTGGCTAATGGCAAACTGGATCACTGGGCAGCCGTCAAAGTGCAAACCTCACTTCACCTCAGTCGACATCATCGTCGTCCTCTACCCTCTGGTTTTCTCTCAACCCGACTGACATCAATTTTATTCTTCGTCATTTACCTAAGTCCGTTTTCCCTCGGCCTTCCCTATCGTCCGCTTGAACACAACGAACATGGGCGTGGATCAACTGCGGTAGGCGTTTCCCGCCTGAAGTTGTCCGTCTCCACGTTTTCACCCGATCCTCGAACTCCGCCTCGACAACGACCTTCTGACGTTCTACCTCTCTCCTTTGACTCTATCCCATCATCTCCCATCGACCTGTGTCCCTTATTAACGCCTCAGTCGAGTTTCGAGACCGCACATACCACCATCAACCCCTCCCGACCCTCGCATGTTGCTCTTTGCAATCGACACCATCTGGGTTGTCGAGCCACTCCCACCAAAAACCGGCCCAAAACACCATGTCTACACCCTCGATAGCAACCACACTCTTGCCTGCTCACCATAGCCAATATGGTTATGCTCATCAAAATCTATATTCACCGAGTACCCTTCCCTACCCCACCAACAACACGCTACCTGCACCCCAGCGGTTGAACACTGCGTTTCATTCCTACCCCGGTGCCGCTCAGTACCAGCGACCGCAAGAATCCCCAGCGATCTCATACAGAGGGCCGTCAAACGTTTCCACAATGCCCCCGTCTCAGTCGACGTCAACCCTGTCCGATGCTCACCTTAGAAGACAACCGGACTGGAATGAATTTTACAAGAACGGAGTTCCAAAAGAAATCATCGTCATAGACGACGATAGTCCCGATCCCCAGGGCCCAGGAGACGCTTCGAAAAGACAACAGAGAGAAGATGTTGGCGGATACAATTCGAATGCAGGCCGGAAAAGAAAAGTTGATGAGGGTTATGACATTGAATATACAGACAGTCCGACATATTCGACGCACCCGGCTAAATTTGGGGCATCATCGTCGTCCGCCTCTTATCATTCCGCTGACCGAACCACTTCCCTCCAGACAGTTACTGCCCCAACTTCGCTCGAATCGTATGGCAGCAATACTGCTAGCAACAGTTATGAAGATGTCAGAGTAGGACAAAAGCGGAAAAGAACCACAACCCAAAAAGAGACCCGTGCACAAGCGGCAAAAAGAAAGCAACAAGAGTCCGCACCAGATGCTTTTGCAGACTATGTCCCCCCTCAAAAACCTGTACGCAAAGCTGCGGATGTTCACGTCCCAGTAATACGTGACACAGAAAGGCATAAAAATCTGAAGGTGGATGATGACGACGGCCATTACATTGTGACGCCTGGCACGAAACTTGCTGACCGATGTGAGTATCATTTATTTCCCCGTGATATCGACTTTTTCTGACAAATTTTGATAGATGAGATTATCAAGCTTCTTGGGCAAGGCACATTTGGCAAAGTGGTCGAGGCGTTTGATTCACGAAAGAAGACAAGATGCGCTGTAAAAATCATTCGATCCGTGCAGAAGTATCGCGATGCTTCTCGGATCGAGCTGCGTGTTCTTTCTACACTTGCTCTGAACGACAAAACCAACCGCAACAAGTGTATCCATCTACGGGACTCATTCGACTTCCGGAACCACATTTGTATAGTCACGGACCTCCTGGGACAGAGTGTCTTCGATTTTTTGAAAGGAAATGGCTTTGTTCCATTCCCTAGTTCGCAGATCCAGAGCTTTGCTCGTCAGCTGTTTACCAGCGTCGCCTGTAAGTCACACACCCCTGTTAATTGAATGCCAGCACTAAATTTTTGCAGTTCTGCACGACCTCAACCTCATTCACACAGATCTCAAACCTGAAAACATACTACTGGTTCACAATGCCTACCAGACGTTTACCTACAATCGCTCGATACCTTCGTCGTCCCACACGACGTCCAGAACTGCTCGACAGCGCAGAGTCCTTCTGGACAGTGAAATTCGTTTAATAGACTTTGGTTCAGCCACCTTCGATGACGAATATCACTCCTCTGTGGTATCAACACGACATTACAGAGCACCTGAGATCATTCTGCAGCTGGGATGGAGTTTCCCTTGCGACATTTGGAGCATAGGGTGTATCATTGTGGAATTCTTCACAGGTGATGCATTGTTCCAAACGCACGATAATCTCGAGCATTTGGCCATGATGGAAGCTGTATGTAATGGCAAGATTGACGCAAAACTTGTCAAGCAAGTATGCTCGAGTGGTCGCGGCGCCAACGCAAACTCCGCTGCAAAGTACTTCAACCGGGGGAAGCTGGAATATCCCAACAATGAGACTTCAAAGGCTTCAAGGAAATACGTCAAGGCGATGAAGCATCTCCATGTACGTTTCTGTGCATTCGTCTTTGTGAGATTATACTGACAGTGATTCGCACAGGAATTCATACCAGCAACCAACCCTTTCAACCGACACCTTCTCGACCTGCTGAGAAAGATTTTTGTTTATGACCCAAAAAATAGGATCACGGCGAAAGAGGCCCTCAAACACCCTTGGTTCAGGGAAACCCTTGTTGACGACGGGACTGAGGCAATTCGGATACGCGAGGAACGTGCTGTTCAGAACGGGGCAGGCCCGGACGCGAAACGCCCGCGCATGAATCAATAACCCAACGCCGCGCGCTGGACCTCTTACTTCCAGAGACGACTGTGTGCTTATGACGTTGCTGCGGAAACATCAAGCTTCAGTCTCATGATATGGCTTGATACTGTGGCTGGATACTATCTATGTCGGGATTGAGAGTGGGGACGATACTAATGACTGATTGAACGGATTTGGAAACTTAACAACTCAACTACATACTGAGAAACGCTACTGCAATTCGGCGGAGAGCGTTTACACCCTTGACACCAGAGCTCTACCCCCTTTCTGATCAAGGAACTCGTTCAGCTGGTGCCCGAAAGTCCTCTTTGTCAAGCCAACCGTGTAGAAGGATTGCGGCCGGAAGACACGTTTGTTGTTCAGGGACGGAAACGAGCATCCCAGTGGAATCTCACCGGTCGGTTCATGTCACTGAGCGAGTCGCCACGTCTTTCTGAGTCCTGGGACGGCAACGGGAGAGAGGAGGACCAAAGGTAGAGTACAAATTTTTGAGGAGACTTAAAAGACCAGGCTAGATACGAGCATGACTCTTAGCCTTTGCTCTACATGACGATAAGTGGCAAGTATAGCTTGGCTGCTTAGCTTCTTGACAGCGCATATCTTTCCTGCTCCTCTGGCCACAGTCGAGGATCGAGGATCGAGGAACGCATGGACATATTACACTGTGAAAGATGAAGAAGAGCGCTCTCCCATTCGTGTCGTTATTTCTACCTGCCTGCTGTACTTGTACCTGGTATGATTCTTCGCCTTGCTCTGACTGGGCCCTGACTACACGGTTCAAATATTGCCATGGCAGATGTCCCTCAGCCTTCCTTTGAACCCCATCCCTTGTCCAGTCCAGTACGGTCGAGTCGAGTCAAGTCGACATGAACAGATCCCATTTCAGCTTACTACTTAGTAGTGGGAAGTAGAGAAACCAGGCTGAACAAACCTCCTCAACATCTCTCTCACTTTAGAAAAATAAAATGCCCCACACCACCGACCACTGACCACCGACCGAGTCTCGCGCTCGTGCTTTTTGTATGTGCTCCGCGCTCCGCTGTTTAATTCATCCGTCGGGTTTTGAGGAGGAGAGATTCTAGTACCTAGTACATGGTGCCTGGTACTTGGAAGCAGGAAGGTCTACCGTCGCGTGAGTTTTACTCCTTCAGGTGTCTTTTCGCATTCCTTTCCGATTCAAGTCTTATATTACGGGTTGATAGGTAGAAAGCAAAAGTAAATAAATTCCTGGTCTCGGTATGGTTAGGCATGCTTGCCCAGCGACTACGACTGGCGTGGTGTCTCCCCATACGGCGGAGCGATTGAAGGTGGTTGAGGATAAGAACATGGAATCGCAACAGTTAGATAATGGTGGCTGCCGCCATAGAGTACAAGAGTACCCTGTCCTCCAGGATGTCTTGGAGTGTAAGATGGCGACCATCGATGCTGGTATGGGTTGGGACATGGGAGGTAGAGTTGAGGTTGAGGTTGAGAAGCATAATTGCGTTGTGCAGACCGGGCCCAGTCGCTGCCAGCTGAGTGTGGTCCGGCTGGATGTTCGATCTGGGGACCTAGGTAGAGGTTGGAAGCAGGCGGACATGTCTGGTGCTGTCGTTGCACCATATGTGGCGCAATCGAGTGTTGAGCAGACTGTTCATATCTGTGCGTGGCATGATATTCCAGGCTGTGACGCTGTGACTCAGCCCAGTTCCAGGTCTGTAGTCTCAATGCTGCTTGATCCCCGATCCCCGTGGGTGTCTGAGCACCTTGCTGAGCGCTCGATGCGGCTTGTTCAACACAGGCTGACACGGGAGCAGAGGTATGGCCTTGTGGCCTTTGCGAGATAGAAGTAAGAGTAGTTGTTTGACTAAGCCTGCTGGATGTGGAGGGCGATATGCTGGCCGGGACGGAAGGGCAAGCTGGTCGAAAAGGGCGTCCAAATGCGGTCTCGTCCCCCGGATCTTGTGAATCCACTGTACGTGCACGCCATTCTGCGATGCGAGAAGTGGGCGAAGCAGCTCTTGACAAAAGTGGTGAGCTGCGATGCACACTCTCTTGCCGAGCGCAGGTAGTACTATGATGTCCACTGACGGCAGGAGGATTCCCCATTTTGTTGGAACACACCCTTGATGGGCGTGGCGATGAGATTCGGCAGGCTTTTCGAACTTCCACGTCGATAGTCTGCTGGCCAACCGTAGTTCTAGGTCTCCCAGAACGTAGTGAGGACACCGCTGACATACGGCGTGTTGAAGGAGCACGTTGCAGTTCTTGGGCGGTCTCTGGTGAAACATTGGCGGGACGAGCTCCTGGGCTATTTCGGGTCCCTGCTGACGGCGCTTTTGAAGGTTGGGGCGAGGGCTCGTTCTGTTGAGCTTCACCATTGCCCGCGGTGTCATTTGAACCAGCATGAGATCTCGTGATGCTGGCTTTGACAGAATGGGCTTTGGACTGTGCTTGAGAGGCGGCCGCATTTTCCGGGTCATCATTGATAATAGATTCGCGGCCTTCTAAGTCGATGTCCCCACTTACCCCAGCAACATTTGCGGTGTTAGCAGCGGCCTCATTCTCTACTTCTTCGATGTTTCCTTGATCTTCCCCTCCATGTGGTCTTTCGCCGTCTGCGACATCCTTATCCTCCTCGGCCTCGGCCGCCTCTCGATCACCACCAGTTTCACTGGCAGTGACAGCCTCGGGTGCAGCAGCAGCGAGTATTGTGGCTCGTGCCCGATCTCGTCTGCTCCTCCGAATGGCTTCGACTCGCATGTATTCGTCGTGCATGCACAGCTTAGCGAGGCCAAACCAAGCGCTTGAACGACTCTTGCCGCCAATCCAACGAGGTCGTGGGACTTGTGCCGACATCTTTCTGAGAAGTCGTCAAGGGCATCAATCCCGGCGGCTGCTTGACAGGAAAGCGAAGCCATCGCATATAAGGTATAAGAGGGCGGATTATATGACAGAGTTACTCAGAATGTCCAACCTACCGATTGCCTTCTTCAGTCACTGGGAGCAACAATGACCCAACCCTCTCGATCAATGACTCTGTATGGCATGTCATTGTGAATCTTTGTCCCCGCAGTGCATTATGTGGTCTGGAACATGCCTTTGAAGGCGAATGACTGGTGCCAGAAAGGGTCACTGAGGGTTGTTGTTTCACTTGCCGTGGAATGGCGGTTGTTTGATCTCGAATCACAAGTACACGTCAAGTAGTGTTGACCGTGCGTGTGACAATAACCGAGTTCAGTCATTTCATAATGCTGGCTCCAAGCGTCCCCAAACGAGGGAGTACCGTAGGTATCTTACACAGGAGAAGAGAAGTCCCCAGTTACTTGGAGTCTCGCCAGTCTGGCGCCTGGGAAAACAAGCTTTTAATTAGAATTTAGAGTCTGTGGACCCATTAGGTGACTAAGCGTCTAGGCTAGTCCATGGCTTGGCATCTGACATGGGAAAGTGCAAGAGGCGGAGAGCTGAGGGGTCTGGAGCTCCATGGTGCACAATTAATATACCATGCGCATAGTTGGATTTGTGTACGTATCCTTTGCTTCATTGGCGGTCCTGTTTTCACGAACACCATAAAGTACATGGAATAGCGCGCCCCGGCACATAGCAGATGGCTGTCTGATGGTGAAAATACTGGTTTGGCCCTTGATTGCATCAACAATGGGGTCGATCCGCTCCTTCCCGGTGAGGTCTCGAACCCCCCTCAGCCTCTTTTGCAGGTGGAAAAATCCCTCTGCGCAGCTTAATTCCTTCTTCAAAGCTTCCTTCATCCTCATCTCTGTGGTGTAAGACTCATCCTTAATCCCCTGAAACTATTTTATTACAGCAGCTGCTCGCTTATCAAACCCCGTTGTCATCTATGCTCGGCTACGAAACCCGGATCTCGACTCTCCCTCGACCTCAGTGGCTTCGCTCTGCAACCTAAGCGTTTTGGCCACCTCCCCAGCCAACCACTCTCCGTCTCTCTATTGGAGTAATCCTTGCTTCGCCTGATCGTCTTTCATCATCTTACCTAGCCCAGCAGCCCAGTGTTACCTCAATCCCAAATCTTCTTCAGTCAACCTCTATCGCTCCGAATTCCCTGACCATAATAAGCACTATATCTCAGCTCTAACTTGGTAGTACTCCTGGGCTCATCAGCATTATTATATTACTCGATCTCTCCTCTCCGTTCTATTGCGCAACGCATACTCGAGGAACTGCAACCATCCGAATTAATCCACCCACTTACAACTTACATGCCTTCATGAATCCTCCGCCCGATGATGGAATCAGCCCGTGCTCCAGGGACGGTCGACCTCATTTCCGCTCACGGCCCCGAAGAAGAATGGTCCCCATTGACAGATGGCTTCGGGGGTTTGGTCGACATTGAAACCCTTGCTGGCGGCAGTGGCCAAACAAACCCTAGACTCGACACCGACAACCTGTATGACGATGACATGATCGGCGTCAGTATGAGTCGAGTCCAAACACAGATGAGATCTCCACAAACCCCTGTGGCCGAGAAGGCTAAGGCTCTCAATCTACCGGTCGACTATTTCCGCAGAATTCTAGCACTGTCAGAAGATTCTGAAGACGACGACTACAGCGATGCAGCAAATGATACTCAGCCCGGCACACCGAACGCTAACCTGAGGCCACCTGCGCTCTACCAGAGTGGTGCCGAACCATCCGCCTTACGCCAGAATAGCAGAACGAGAGCCTCTACGCACGATTCGATTTTGGCCGATCAGCATGAGCGACATTCCAGGCATTTCGTCAGTGAACCAGATATCCCCCGTATCAGGACACAGTCTCCACAGGATTCGAAGGTAGAAGATGCAGATGAGCCTGCGAGGCCACTCTACGAGCATCCACTCCCGCCGCACCCGAACCGTAGACCACCCACGCCGCCTGATGACGATCAAATTCCCCGGCAGACACGAAGTTACGAGAACGACGTGTCACGCATTAACAACCTCGAAGAAGGCCCCGAGTCGCCGCACGCTCACAGATCGTCCCTAACCAAGAATATTTTGAGCGGAGCTGGAAGTGAGCGACGGCGCAGTCTCTCATCGGCTCCAACGAACTTACTTTCCAACCTGCGAAAACTGTTACCGGAGCTTCCATATGGGAATTTCAACATGAGTTCCATCTCTCTTGCCTTTTTGCCGCCGAGCAGCGGGAACTCTGGCCAGCAGAGTCCAGCTGGCGGTCAGATCACACCAACCAATAAACCATTCAGATGGTCTCTTCGCGAACCACTTCAAAGACGTAGTACTGGCGACACATATCGCAACATGCAGCCACCGGTATCAGCCCTCGACCCCAGCCCTGTGGCTCGGAGTCAACTAGACGGTAATGTGGAATCGTTACTCTCTCCAACCAGTCCAGCATCAAACACTAGCCGGGCACGTTCCAACTCTGAAGGATCGATATACATCCGGCGAAGGGTTTCGGGTGTATCGGCGTACGACGACATTAGCGCATTTTCTCATGTTACTGATATGGCCAATTCTCGATTCAAAGCCATAACAGACAGTTTCCAGAATTCGTCCCTCAGATTGCCTCGGCTGCCCGCGCTTCGACAAGTAGCGAAACGACGCACGTCGCCTGCCCAGTTCAACGGAGAGATCCCTCGGGGAGTGGATGGAGGCAGTGGCGATGGACAAGGCCGGGTTTACCAGTACGGATCGGTCCAGAAGATGCGGATTGCAGCAAAGGGCGTCGAGGTGGAAACTCCGCAGCAGCGAGCGCATCCAATACTGTCACGTGCCCTCTCGAAGACTACAGGCGACATTGTTATTCTGGGTGGGTATAGGGGATCAATCTTGAGATCAGCACAGCCTCCTCATCGACAACTCTGGGTTCCTATCAAAGTCGGACTAAACATGCGTAAGGTAGATTTGGAGGTTGGGTTAACTCGCGAAGATGAAGAGCGCATGGAGCAGACCGTCATCCCGTCCGGCATTCTTTCGCATATTGGTCCTATTGACATTTGCCGAAGGTTGCTTAAACATATGAAGAAATGCCCCAACACACGTGAGAATAGACTCCGAGTGCACGACTGGGGTTATGATTGGCGGCTCTCTCCTGATCTGCTTAGTGGAAAGTTGATCAAGTTCTTGGAATCGCTGGAGTGCAACCATCCAGAGACGCCTCACGAGAAGCGAGGGGCCACGGTTATCGCCCACAGTCTTGGGGGGCTGATCACACGACATGCGGTCAACCAACGTCCAGATCTGTTTGCGGGTGTGGTTTACGCTGGTGTGCCGCAGCACTGTGTCAATATTTTGGGACCTTTGCGGAACGGGGACGATGTCCTTTTGAGCTCCAGAGTTCTCACAGCCCAGGTCAATTTCACGCTCCGAACCAGCTACGCCCTTCTTCCGGAGGACGGCCGGTGCTTCATCCAGAAGCACACCAATAAACGGTATGACCTGGACTTCTTCGATCCCCACGTCTGGGACGAATACCACCTGTCTCCCTGCATCAACCCACCGATACCACGCAGCTACCGGGAAAAGGAAGATCGTGATCGTAGGAAGAGCATCATCGGAGCTCTTTCGGAAAGCATTTCAGGGCCCAGCAAACGTACTTCCTGGCTTGTGGGACAAGGTCCCCAAAGCCAAACCTCGCAGCAAACCGATACCAGAGATGGTCTGGAAGAAGCGCGCCAGCATGCTGTCGACAAGGCACTGGAGGCGGGTCAAGACATAGAAGGCAATGCAGAAGGAATGGTTGGACCGTCAATGAAACAGTCTCATCACCGAGGCAGTATCGCAACTACAGTAACGATTCCCAAAGACCTTGCGGAGGACTATCTTGATCGTACGCTGGCGGAGGTGTCGGTCTTTAAACAGCAGCTGAAGTTCAACCCCAGCCACCAGGAAAACAATCTTTACCCGCCGCACGCGTTCATCTTTGGCAAGACGGTGCCCACCGTGTACGGAGCCAGGGTCGCCAATAAGGAGGCGATAAAGTATGCGGATGCGTTCGACGATCTAGCGTTTGCGGCAGGAGATGGAGTAGTCCTTGCGAGTGCAGCACAACTACCAGAAGGATATCGTTGCGTCAAGGGGGGCCGAGTGGAGAGTGATCGAGGACATGTGGGCATTATGGGCGACCTAGAAGGCATGGGCCGCTGCCTCGAGGCAGTAGTTGATGCCAGAGCTAAGGGCGTTGGGTTGGGAAACTCATATGCTCGCCATACGCGGGACTCGAGCGATCCATGACATGACATGACATGACGATGAGATGGATGGGTGGTTTGTGTGAATTTGGATACGTGATACCTAGCGAGTCGTTGTATCTGTACAGCTTGATCTTATACAAGACTTGGATTTGGGTGTTTTAGCTGGGACAGATCGGCAACAATCCCGGGTGCAGGGAGAACCACCTCAACCCAGGCTCGTAGTGGAAGAGGGGAGCAGCTCTCTGGATTGGTGGCAGCCAGGGCAATTTGTTAAAGTCGAAAGGTGCCCAATTTGACATCTGAGGGTAGGCCAGGAGTCAAGTTCGATGGACTATTCGTCAGATGCATGCCTCTGCCGCCGTGGATGGAACCGAATTTCCTGTGCGCGGGCTTTCTCGGGGATGGTACGGTCCGTTGACTAGTGGAAACTAAACACCCCCATCAGTTCATACCTTGGCCTTAGACGAATTGTACAGAGCTAATGTGTGACAGAACCTGTTACTGGACGCGCCAGGTGTACAGGTTTGAAAGATGTTGGAAAGGATGTGTGTTCCCAGGGTGAGACGCACACATTGTCAGCTCGTGTATCCAGCGCCTAAACAACGACTGTGATTGCTACCCCGCTCTCGTCACGAGGCTTGCCTCATCCTTCTTCTATCCAACCACTTCATTGAACCTCCTGATGGGC